CAACGCTGTTGCCGCCACTGCGACCGCCGCGCCTGCTCGTGGCACCAACGGCGGCAGCAGCAACGCCGACGACAACGCGAGCTTCGGCCTCACCAACCGCCGCATGGAGCAGGCCTTCTCTGTCGGCGACTACGCCGTCGGACTGTACGTCGTCCTCGCGGCCGCCGCCGGCGGTGCCATGGTCGTGCTCTAAGCGCGCCTCGTGCACCAGGGAAGGGTTGCCACGCATGTATACAGATTCCCCCGCGATGGCTGCCCGATGGCGATCAAGAATCAGTTGTTTAATATAGCTCTGCATTGCTTTCGGCTTTAGATGGCTACCATGGTTTGGTTAGCTGGGTCAATCGGTTCATGGTGCCATGTTTTGTTTTCGGCCTGCGACAAGGTCGGCGTCGCGCAGACGCTTTCTGTTTTGTTAGCATGGGGTCATGATCGTGATCCCCAGGTGTTCGTTCAATAGAGTATGATTCAGATGCCGTGTCTGCTCCTCGTTACGTGGCTATCGTGATGCCCGCGTAGGAAGGCTTCATGCTTCACTTTAGTACTCCCGCAGCTGGCCCACGATACTGTCTCCACTGCAGCTTCATGTACGTCGCAGCACATAACACTGAGGCAAATAAAGTTATTGTGTTGAATGTAATGTGCGAAGCTTCTTGCCGAAAAGCCAATCGCATCCCTGCGTCATCCATCCACAACAGAAGACACCAATTTGTGCGATCTATTGTGCAACGGAGTCACTGCGCCGCCGCTGTACTTGTTCCACGGGGTGCTTACACTTGGCTGTGATGCCGCTGGTTAGTCTTCGCTACCCCCTTGACGATGACGATGGATTGAGCGGTGGTGCCGGTGACCGATGGGTGTCTCGTGACACTGTGGCTCGCGGTGTTTTAGGACAGGATCAGTCTGGACATGCCAGGGCTTTGCGGTCTTTTTCTTTTCTTCTTTTCTCTTTTTCTGAGTTCTTTCCAGGGTTACACAACGTTCCATGCCGCATGGTAGCCGTTGCCGCATAGAACCACATGCGTCTCGCCCTGATCGGCTTGTTCCGTTGAAGGTTCGGGATGGACTTGAGACGACGGCATTGTTGTTCTGCTGGAGAAGGCGTCTACAAGCTTGTATGCCTGGCCGGGGAACGAAGGAACCAGAACGACAGAACACTACGCTGAACCTCCTCAACACAGAGACCAGCCTTGTTTTTTGTTCAGCTTTTTCGGGACTGGTAGCCATGCAGAGCTGGGTTTCTGGTCGTGATTGAGGGGCCGGGAACTGGGAGGTCCTGTGCATGATCCCTTGAACGGCACGCGGGGGCATGTCAGCAAGACAGATTGTAGGAACGAAAGCTGGGACTATCTCTGGACCCGAATAGTAAAAATTGCGGCCGCGGCCTCCGCATGTCTGATGTCCGTCGACTGAATTCGATGCATGTTGTGACGCATCACATACGTTCGATTCGATTGAGTGCTGCCATGTCTACATCAATGGCAATGGTGGCAAGACACGCGGGGATCTGATCTGAGGAAATATCACAGAGAACTCCCTGCGAAAGATATTGTGGAAAAGATTTTGCGGAACGTGGTATCGACTATATCTGATATTGGCTTCGGGCTTGATTGCGCTCGATTCCTCGGTTTCGCTTGGAGACCCCAGCAAGGGGCAAGCTTATCCTGGGCATGACAGCACAGATGAGTTTGATTTGGCACAAACATAATGCCCTGTCGATTCCATTCAGGTGTGGAAGAGGGCCGTACCCAAGATGCATCTCATGTGTGAGCAGCGAGCTGATCCTCTTCCCCGCATCATGGACCCCGTCCTGATCGCGTCCCTCACGGAAATCTCATCTGACACGACTGGCGCCCATGTGATGCACCCTTTCGGCCAATACTGTCCGCTTTGAGATTGTTTGTCCGGTGGCCAAGCCAACAACATGCACCAAGGGGGGACATAGCCACAAAGCTTGACTCTGCGAGGGAAGGTGCATCTTGGTTCAGAGCTGGGGCATGGCATTCGGGCGTCTCGGGACCGCTGGGACGGGTTTGGGTTGCCTTTTTTTGATGCGTCCCCGGATGACAGCCGCATGAGATTGGGGTCGTATCTAAGGCTCGTGGGGTATTGGCGTAGCTGTATAGTGAAAGGGCTGCTGGATTTGGGACAAGATATTGAAGCTTATAGCAAATTGTATCATGTTTGCGCTACGTCGACACCGGCCGTCTTTTTACAGCAAGGTGGAAGACAAATGCAAGAGGCAGGATCCAGATCGTCGGGATGAGCCAGAACTTATGATTCTGGTCCGGCTGTTTGGTAGATTCAAAGCCTTCCTACGGCCAGAAGATACCTGAATGGTGGACCACCTCGTGATGCATTTTAAGATGATGCCAATGAACCGGCGGCAGCAAATGGAATGCACGCAGTAGTAAAAGTTGGGAGGAAGGCAAAGTTCATCAGGCAATGAAGGAAGAAAGAAGAAGCAGAAAGAGCAGCATCGATTGAGCGAGGCGGGAGCTATGATCTTCCAAAACAATACAGAGAGTCAACGCAACACCATGCCCGGCCGACAACCGAGGCCATCACCAAGCCACCAAGACTTCATCTCTCGGCCTTCAGCCTCATGACCCGACATGTCCCGTAGGATGCACACCACTCAGTCGCCCGTCAGGAGTATGATAGAGATCTTCTGAGGATGCCTCGGCTGTTTCACTCGGTGTGATGAGTCTAGATTCAGCCCAGCGAGGCATATGTAGGGTCGAGGTGACGTGGCGTGGGAGACTCAAACAGGAGTCTATCACGAAGGATCGAGAAAAACAATTTAAGCAGAAGGAGCTCTAGGAGTGGCAGTCAAGAAATTTTTATCGTGAGCATTGCCGCTTTGAGCGAAACTTGCGAGGTGACTGTAAGCCGCACATGTGAAATTGTTGGCTGGCTGTCATGAGTTGGATCGCCATGGCATGGCATGCAGATGTGGCGGTCGGTAGGCACATCGTGGTGCCCACGTTCAGCGCGTGGCATGCAGCCTCTTGAACGTTAGAATTACCTTAGCTCAGGATTCCCTGGGCGTGAACGCACGCGTCGCGTCAGCTAAGGCTGGTTTGCGTTGTCAAGGTTCTGACATGGAGGGAAAGGGAGAGATAGATGTGCGGGGAAGGGAAGGGCTGGGAAGAAGAGCGAGATGAACCAATGAGAGGATGAAGGAAGAGTAGAGTTGCCGAGGCACGCTCTATATCGGGCTTGGTGTGTGGCATTTTGGAGAATCGCTAGATGGCGGGGGAATGAACAGTCTATGGCGTCGGACGTTTCTTTCGTACTATCGAGAGTCAAAGGATTGCAGTGAGCAGTGAGCGTGCAAGTTGACATGAAACGAAATGACCACGAGACATGCAACCGGTGTCTGAAGAAGATGGAGACGACCCAATATTGGGAAACACACGAACGAGAGAGCGCCCTTTTTGTCAATGCCCTCTGTCTGTGCCTTTCGGGGGACAGGGTCTGGCCTGGCCTGGCCCGTTCTCCCCCCATAACTGTCTCTGACAGTGGCCAAAGTCGGAACTGGCCGCATCGTGATCATGCCCTCAACCTCAGCACCCCCCTCCTCCGATCGTGCCGTGCCATGCGTTCCCCCCGCGCGCCTACGCGTGAGTGCAAAGAGGAGCAAAAGAGGAGCTGGTACAAGAGTTTGAACGGCGCAAGAGGCTCAGAAGGGTATGCGCTCCGGATATGGTAAACACGCCAATGTGTCACCGACTATAACGATGAGCGAACAGTCGACGACGGACCACATGCTGATCCATCTGGAAGAGGCCCCCCAGGCATCCACAGCACCCACCGTATCCATGCGACCCCCTCCGTCCTCCGGGGAACAACAGCCTTCTGACGGGGTCATACAAACGCAACCAGACGAGCGAGATGCTCATGGATTTTCGCATCTAGGACCAAAACGGGCAATGAACCGTAGACTGGACCAATTATGGCGTCGTGCCAAGAAATCGGCCGCACCAAGTACCGGTTGGCTTTGAATGAGGGCGGCTTTGGAGGGGGAAAGGAAATGGAGGTAAAGGAGGGGGGCGTAGCAGCAAAGCAGCAGAAGCAGCAGCACGAGCATCATCAGCTGCGGTCGGTCGCGGGCCCTGACTGGGGCTCTGGGGCCACCCCTGGTTCACTCCACCTCCCTGCTTCCCCGTATTTCTCCCCTCGCGCTCTATGTCTCTCTCCGCTCCTCTCAGGTGTTTGGTCGCTATCGGGGTTAACTGACTCTTGTGCGTCCGGCTTAGGTTCTACCCCGCAGCCGGGGCGAGATGGGGGCACTCGGGTAGCCCACATTCCCCAGATTCGTCGTCCATTGCGGCGCCCTCTCCCCCCCCTTTTGCACGAGACGCTCGAATTTATCTGCCCTAGACAATATGCTCCCACTAAGTCAGACGGTTGGCCAAGACGCTCATGGCTGTCGAAGACCGCCACCCTCGGCATCTTTGCTCGCTCTTCTTTGTCTGATTGGCTCTCGCAACCGTGTCTGTGTGCTTCTTCCGAGCAGCGCCAGAGCGGCTTGTCACCCCCCTTTCAAGGCAGGGCAACGCCAGGCAAGGCAAGCCCAGCCAAAGCTGGGGAAAGGCGCGTGGAGCTTGCCGGGTGGTGCAAGGTGCTAGGTTCGTAGTGCGTGATGCGTAATGGGGCCCCCATGAATAGGTAGGTGAGGGTGGAAAGTGATGGGAGGGGTCCCGATCCCATGGTATGGGTCTGGTGTGGCCTGGTCTGGGTCTCGTCTGCTCTGGGACACGTCGCCGGTCGATCTACAAAAGGTCTGGGTGAGAAGCTTTCCTGGAATCCGATGCAAGGAGAAAGAAGGGTAGGCCCAAGACTCTCTCATCCCATCATTCAAGGTCCCAAAAACGACTCGGGGTGCACAAACCAAGACACGACAGACCCAAGACCAGTACCTCACCAGCTGTTTCCCGAACAGCTTCATCCCATACTCACTCGCTCCCATTCTCCTCCCATCCAGCCTGCCCATCATGAGCCCACGCGATCGTGAGCTCGAGAAGGAGGACTTCGAGACCGAGCACATTGGCGACAAGGCGAACCGCGTCGACTCGGGCGATGGCGTCCGCACGCCTGGTTCCTCTGCTCCCGACCATGGCTTCACGCCTGAGGAGCAGCGCAAGATCATCAGGCGCGTCGATCGTCGCCTCGTTGTCATCGTCGGTTTGATGTACTGCGTCTCCCTCATGGACCGAACCAACTTGTCGGCCGCCGCCATTGCCGGCATGAATGTCGAGCTTAACCTCATTGTCGAGAACCGATACGTATGCAATTCCCCTAGTCCCTCGACGTCAGTGCCTGTAAATGGGTACACATTGGCTGACCACTGTGAGGTACTCACAGAGCATCGCGTCGCTTGTCTTCTTCATCCCCTACATCCTCTTCCAGCCGCCGTCGACCATCATAGTCCGCAAGCTGGGACCTCGCATTCATCTCGCAGGCATCTGCCTCATGTGGGGTAGCGTCATGATCGGCATGGGCTTTTCTCAGAACTTCACCCACCTCGCCGTGTGCCGTGTCCTTCTTGGTGTCCTTGAGGCTGGTTTCTTCCCCAGCTGCGTCTACCTTCTCAGCACCTGGTATACCCGATGTACGTGTTGCCCTTCGATTCTGTTGATGATGTTCGTCGCAGTTCATTGAGTATCATACTGACATCTCGGCGTAGTTGAGGTCGGCAAGCGGTACTCCGTCTTCTACCTCCTCGGATGCGTCGCCTCCGCCTTTGCTGGCATTCTGGCCTACGGCCTCATGCAGATGAACGGCCTCGCTAACCTGACCGGTTGGCGCTGGATCTTCATCATCGAAGGTATCATCACCTGCCTTCTCGCCCTCCTCGGCTACTGGCTGCTTGTCGACTTCCCCGATTCGAGACGCAAGACTTGGAACTTCCTCGGCGAGCGCGAGCTCCAGTGGGTCGTTGACCGCGTGAACCATGACCGTGGCGATGCCAAGACGCCCCCCTTCAACGCCCGCCGCTTCTTCGCTGCCGGCGCCGACTGGAAGATTTGGCGCTACAGCGATGATCTTCTTTAACACGACCACCCTGCCCTCGCCTACTTCCTGCCCATCATCCTCCAGATCAATATGGGCTTCACCGTCGGCGAGGCCCAGTGCCTTGTCGCCCCCCCCTACGCCTTTGCCGGCTGCGTCATGTTCGCCACGGCCTGGCTCGGCGACAAGTACCGAGTCCGTGGCCCCATCATCATCATCAACGTTGTCCTCTGCCTCATCGGCCTCCCCCATTATGGGCTTCCACCCCAACTCCAATGTCCGCTACTTTGGCGTCTTCCTCGTCACCGCTGGTGCCAACTCCAACATCCCCGCCGTCATGGCCTACCAGGCCAACAACATCCGTGGCCAGTGGAAGCGTGCCTTCTGCAGCGCCACTCTGGTTAGTTTTGGCGGCGTCGGCGGCATCGCTGGCAGCCTGCTCTTCCGCCCCCAGGACATGCCCCATTACCGCCCCGGCATGTACGCTTGCATTGCCTGCTGCCTGCTTACTCTCATCCTTGTCGGTATTCTGAGCCTTGACTTCAAGAGGCAGAACGGCAAGGCTGAGCGCGGCGAGAAGGAGCTGGAGAACAACGAGGTAAGTTCTTTGTCCCCGCTCTCCTGCAACCAACTTTGGTGGTACCCTGAGACTAACAGAGCACAGGAGGACTCGCAGCGCGGTTTCCGCTACACGTACTAAGCGTGACGAGTCAACGAGCTGTCGGTGGAATGAGCGTGACTTTTATGAATGGGAATGAGCGATAATTGCTGGATGTCGCTGCTGTGACTCTTTTCTGTAGGAAATGATTCTGTAGCTGGTCTAATGAGGATATGAGACGCAGACTAAGAAATCCTTGCCGAGGCGTACTCATGTTTTTAAAGTTGTTCAAGTGAGGACATTTGATTAGAATATTCCGCTGGCGTGCCGAGGTAGCGCACGGCAGTTACTGATACGTTGCGCCGATGCGGGGCCGTGCCGTTCTTATTTCGAAGTAGGGGTCACACCTGACAAGTTACTGCGTCCTATCATTGGCTTCCGCTCGATTTCAAGTGTGATGCTGTGCCACGGCATGTCATTCGGCGTCGCGGGTCTTGGTTCCGTGCGTCGAACTTCTTGTGGTGGTGATGGTACTTTTGGTGTGGTGGCTGCATTGAGATTACCCCTCATGTCCATACGTTATGGCGGCCTCGGCACGATTATCATGGCGACAAATCACTAATAATCACATATTCAGTACTGATGTGAGAGGATCGAATGGCATTTTATTGTCATTTGCGTTTGGATTATTAATGTTTGTGCGTGGACGTTAGTTCCACCTCCTCTGCGATCTTTCAGGGAAAATAGGTGATGGCTATGGGTTCTTCGATTGTTGCCAATAATGCTTTGCTGGGAAATCCTCGCGTTTCCTTCTTGTTCTTTTAAAGGCGATGATTGAACACGAATCTGTTTTTGTCAATGTTGCACCGCATCCTTCACGCTGTTTGATATGCCCTTATATTGGGCCTGTTTGCTCTCAGCGATTCGAACGCTGCCCAGTAACCTGCTTAGGCAGCGTGCTTGATGATGTCCGACAATCTCTCTGCTAAGGCATAGATTGTAGAGGTCAGATGTCCACTGGTCTGGATGGGCATTACCGATGCGTCGACGACGCGAACGTTGGCTGTGCCGTAGACCTTCAGCTCCGGGTCAACCACACCTCCTAGCTCCCTCGACATCATGGAGGCTGTGCCGATCGGGTGTGCATTGGGAACAGCTGGGTCAATCTTATCAGATCATCTGTTGTTCCACAATTGTCATGAAGGCTCACCGTTGTTTCGCGCCCACGTCTCCCATTGTGCATCAGTGGCATCATCGGGCAATGTCGCAGCGTCTGGCAAAACCTGACCGCCCACACTAGCAGCTACCGGCTCTGATTGCCAGAACTTCTTGGCCAATCGTCCTGCAGCGACAGTTGTTTGAACGTCGAAATCTGCGAGCATGAGACGAGGATCAAAAAGCGGCTTGTCGATGCTTTCTTTAGACGACAGGTGGACGCTGCCCCTGGAAAAGGGAAATAGGATCCAGTAGTCCGAAAATTGAAGACCCACCGCAATGATGGTGAGGATCTCGGCAATGGTGGCGTTCTTCTTGAACATGAGGTCGTGCTGAATCGTAAATAGTTTCTCGATCACAGTCACATTCAGCGCCCCATCTCCTGAGGCATTGACTGATGCCCTAGCAAACTCGGGGATGCGAGCACGAGAAGAAGCCTCCACGACTGCCAGCCGCTCACCGAAAAGGTTCTCTGCAGTTAGATACGCATAAAATGCGTTGGTCGATTCTTCAAGGTTGCCATCATACACGAGCGTATGGTGAGGTTGTTCCAGAAGGTTTTCACCGACGCCTGGAAGATCGATTTTGGTCTCGATACCAAGAGCTTTGAGTATTCTGCCGATTCTTTCATTAGTTTGGACCAATTGCGAACTCTGAGACGGATACTTACTGAGGGTTACCGACGCCTGAGCCTTCGAGCACACCTGGCGTCCGGATTGCACCAGCCGACACCACGACCTCTTTTGTGGCTCTAATGGTTTTCATCTCACCTGCTTCGGTCAAATACTCAACTCCATTTGCGACTAACCCTCTCCCCTGACATTTTGTCTGCTTGCGCGGCTGAGGAGCCCACGTAATCCGCTTGACGGTGCCTTGCAGAATTTGCAGATTAGGACGGTGTTCGACAGGATGTATGTATGCTCGAGAGGAATCATATCGAACGTTGAGCGTCGGGTCCAAAGTTGATGGTGGATAAGAGTAACCCCGAACGCTGCCGCTGTTGAAGTCAGGGTTGCGCGGGACAGAAAGGCTCTCCCACGCCGCGTGCAGACGAGGCGACGCCGAAGTATTGGTGAACGCGGGGGCCAGACCAACATGCAGTGGGCCTTTGAATCCGTGGTGCTGCAGTTCATAGGATGCACCGGCAGCCAACTGGTCCTCCCGGGGGATGAAGTACTTCTCCGACTTTTTAAAGTATGGGAGCATGGTGTCCCAGTTCCACCCAGGATTTCCGAGTTCTTCCCAAACATCAAACTCGGCGCGATTGCCCCTCACATAGGCCATACCTGCAAATATTAGTCTCGCGCTCGAACATGTGATACCGTCTTGCTCTTACCATTGATTGCGCTGGTCCCGCCCCAAACTCTGCCTTGGTGCAGTGTCACGGACCTGCCGCCCGCATGGACTTGCGGTATAGTGGTGTAGTTCCAGTCGAGCCGAGTGTCAAACGCCTGGGCGAACTGGTCGGTCCCCTTGATGTGTAGATTGTCTCGTTCATCCGTGCCGGGTTCCACGACGACGACATTCACCGACGGGTCCTCCGAAAGACGATTCGCAACTACCAGCCCAGCTGTTCCAGCCCCAACGATGATGTAGTCGTATGACTGGGCAAGAGCTAGTGACCCCCCTAGAACTGCGATTACGGCTGGGTAGACCCTCATTTTAGCAGCCTATTATGTCGACACAGCTGGATGATCAAAAGTTCGTGATAGCGGCCTGGACTTTCCTGGAGTGTCTTTTTGCATATCGAGGCCGTATCAGGTTTTAACGGCCACTCATTGTCCGCTGCGTGCTAAGTGGCATGCGGGCCGTCGCACTTCGGACACGATTCGAATCTTCGGTCCCGACGGGTAGCTGTGCTTGTTGCATTGAAGACGTTCGCTTAGCCTTAACTGTCAAGGGTCTGTCGGGAAAGCGATATTCTGCTTCGTTGAATGATATTTAGCCGGAACTGCACCCATGTGAAGCCTGCTCGATTGATTGCCTTCCAGGTTGCGCCACCATCGTGCATGGTCATTTTTATATGTTGTCCAATGGCAGATGACTCTCGATTCGCGGTTCAGGACTTCGACCGTCGTTCAGGATGAGGTCTTGAGAAACTGATACTGGACAGTCTTTGAAAATACTGGCAGTTTGGCCCAGGGCATATATTGAACCCCGACGAACCCCGTTCTGAATCTGTAGTAAGCAGCACCAAAGGATCTTAATCTCAAATGACGGAAGACATGACGGGATTGGATACCTGTGGATATGGCGCTGACAGTATCCTGCATAATCGTGAGCATTTGCGCTAGTTCTGGGGCAATCCATTAAATTCATGCAAAAATGTGAGCCTCCAAGTTTTCGCTCAAGCATGCGAAGTTTGGAAAAGCTGCGACGTCAGGAAGATAGTAAAGGAGGGCCAGTGATGACCTCAACTGATCAGGGCAACGAAGCAGTCACTTGAGAATAAGATAGGTCGTTGAATGTGTGTCGTAGGATTGATGATGTGTGCCCTTAAGGGGTCCTCACAACGAGTCTAGCTGATTTCCGTTTCCCTAATCAGCCACTCTTCATCACCTTGTCGCTGAGCCACACACTTCTGCCCTGCCTGGATTCACTACGCACTAAGGTCTTCTGCAACTTTTCTGGACTACCTTTCTAGCCACTATGAGCGCTAAAAGATTGAATACGGCTTGGAAGTGTTATCCCAGGATAGCCGGGATTGACGCTCTGCCCTGTGGGTTCGAGGCGTCTGAGTGCAAGTAGCACTCAAACAGTGCATTGCATTGAGAGCTCAAATCCTCCGGAAGGTTCGCTACGATTATTTCGCCATGCACTCTGATATTGTTTGGGCTGAGCCTGGGCTAAGCCTTCAGTCGACTGATACTTCATTGAATATAGAGACACCGAATCCATAACAAGCTTCAATCGGTTCTCCAAACTATAGCTTTCATCTCCTCCTAGAAGTTTGAAAACAAGGAGAGTCGATACAAATGCTCCTGCCTGAAACTGAGAGCCACCATCACAGATCTCCCTCCAGCAGGGGTGGGCCGTGGAAGTGCTGCCGACCGTACGCAAGATACCACAGCAAACTTACACCTGCGAAGCCTGCGAACACGACGCTGGCGTAGTTCATCGTCGACGCATCCACTGGCAGGGCCACGGGCATGCAGAAAATGACCATCGAGAAGGCGATCCATATGATACAGATCATGTTGATAGACAGACCTAACCTCCCAAGGCTGAAAGGGGAGTTAGCCACGGCGCGTCGGCCTCGCAACACACTAACAAAAACCGGAAGCCCATATGAGGTGGATAGACAGACGGTGCACACTCCTGTAAAGGAATTAAAAGCAGCCGATGAGCCGAAATAGATGCATGCGAGAAGGGCGTTGACCGCGGCTGTCAGCGTGAGCGACCAGACTGGGACACCCAGTCGCCTATCCACGCGGCTCCAGATATGATGTCCAGGAATTGCTTTGTCGCGGGCAAAGGCGTAGGTAATCCGGGAAGCTGCAGTAATGGCGCCAACACCAGCAAACAAGAGAATACCTAGTAGAAGGAACAGAAGACCGAAGCCGCCGGCAGCTGAGCCGGTAACGATCTTGAAGAGAAGGCCGATGGGTTGACCGTTGGCGACGGAAAGTAACAGCGACACTTCAGGGAGTACAAAAAGGATAGGAATCAGATAAACCAAGCCGGTTATGCCCGCGGCGAGAACGGAGAGGACTAAGCCCTTTGGGACCTCTCGGTGAGGATTCGGTACCTCTTCACACATTGAAGCGACCATGCCGTAACCGATCATGGTGTATCCCCCTACGACCTTATTAGCCTTGAGAAGAGGTCAATGCAGACAGATTATAACGTACCTTGAAGCAACCCTACGAAAAAAGCCCAACCGGTCGGCCAACCAGATGCAGAAGCGTCATAGTGAGTAAAGACAAACTCAGCACTCCGCCGGGCATCTGCCATGACCAGTACGGTAACCGAGATGAT